CTTTGGTGGGGAAAAAACCCAAACCTCCTGTACTTTAATATTAGCTACAAAAGAAAGTTCAGCACTTACTTTCACACATTTCATGCATGTTAACCTATATTGCCTTAACACTAGAAAGAGTTTACTTGATTGTGTTTGAGTGCAAATCTAATGGTGATAGGCTGCTGTCTTATCTTTTAGAAATGGCAGTGAAAGCCTTTGGAGTGTGCTACCAAACAGCATTGTAGGCAGTATGAAAGTGGAAATGAATATAGAAGTCCTTCCCTCTAACTTTATATTTCTATACTTTAGAGCGGGTGGATGGAGGGAATATAACCCAATGCAATCTTAAACAACACTAAATATAGCTCTGTCTGTTAATACTGGTTAGGTAAAATACCTATTAGATTTACCGAAATATTTCATTTTCTTCTTGGTGTGCAGAAGGGATGGCTAGATTATGGCTTGAGCAGTGCCCAAAGTTTCCATAGTATTCCAACATCCCAACGGCTCTGGAGCAATAACCCACTCAGTTACATCAGCTAGTAACTTGCAATAATGTGGTTTACTATGCCAGGCAGACATTTAACTTTCAGGAAAAAAATTACCATGTGCTGAAATTATTCTTCTCTGATTTCTGGCTAAAGATTGTGCATGTTCAAAATCCAATTAGTATCGTAGAGACTGGAATAGATCTGGCTACAGTCTATGACCTCTAATAGGAACTATCAAGCAATTTGGAGGGACCAGGGAGAAAGGAAAATAAATTATTTCGTTTAGAGCTGCATCTAGTATTTTAGAATTCCTTCTGTAAGGAAGACCTATTCTCAAGAATATTTTAATTCATCACAATGTGAAATTAATTTAGAGAAAGAAAAAAAATACCTCAACTCGCAGATGAAATAGGTTCGTCCATGAACTTAGTTCAATCAGATATTCTTCCCAGGTGGGAATTGTCCTTTGTCCTCACAAGCTACTGAAAACAGACTAGGCTTTTATTCTCCATTTTAGCACGTGACCATCTTCAAGAAACACTTTACCAAACAGCATTTTCCAACTTCAGAAATTATCGTAAAGTGTTTTTTAGCTCAAATGTTTACAATGATTTTGACATTGAGTAGGAGTTGTCTGAAGTAATACCTCAGAGAAGGAGCTTTCTGAGAAAAGCAGAGGTATCAGCTCTGGAGCTGAAAGGGGGTTTCATCACACCTTGCATCTCACATGACATTCTCTAGGTTGAGAAGAGAAACTAAAGAAGTAGAGCCTTTCTGGAATTTGCTACACATCTGTGATGAGACTTTCAACACGAGATAATAATTGCAATTACACCTGCAATTGCCAATTTTACTTCCAAGAAACAGTGGCCTTGAGATCTCTCATCAAGCATGTTGTAAACATTCTCCAATATCCTTTACTTCACAACTTTCCTCTAACAGGCCTCCTTCTGCAGTTCCAAAAATCTAAGCCTCATGATGCACATGATTTGCAATATGTCATAATTACCAGGATAGTTATCTCCTGCTCAGAATCAGAAACACTATTATTTTAATCTCATTTTTATAACTGCCAGTATAGATTAAATTGAGTATGCACTTAGGGCAGTCAGTATTTCACTATATAGCATGTGTGTGCTCGGAGTTCAAAGGCAGCTCAATTACTCATAAGGGATTCTTAAATGAACTATAGCTTTCACTTCTGAGAAGCCGCTTCTCACATTTCTTCCCTCGACTTGTGTAACACATCAACATGCTTCCAACCTTGTCTGTGATATATCCCAAGGCAGCTGCTTTAAGCTGGATTCTTTTAAATCTGTATGTATTTTGGTGATTTGGTTGACACTGTGTTTTCTTCCCAATGCAAGAATCCTGAGAAAGAAAGCTTCTACCCACACAACCACAACAACTATTTTTCTATGCAGAGTTAAGGGTTTTTTTGTACTTCTAAAGAATCACCTGCTAGAAATGAAGGTGCAATATTAATGGCTCATAGCATTCATTTCCATCTCCCTGCCTTCCCACCTCACCTTTCTGAGTCGCAAAGCAATTCTAATCTGTTCTCAGTAGAAAGGGGGCTGATCTAAACTGGTGATAAGACACCCCAAAACCTTTAAAAACTACTAAAGACACACATGCATAGATGTACCTAACGATTTTGTTTAGCTAGATTAGGCAAATTTTGTTTTAACAAAGGAAAGATTATTTTATCCTTACTTGTTTTCAAATAAAGATGTGATAACAGTTTAGAAGACAGAGGATTACCAAGGTTGTAGTTAAGACTCTCCACCTAAAACCTTACTTTTACATATCTGAGTAGTGGATACCAGGTGTAAGAATACTGTGCAAACAAGGACTGGCACTTACTCCTTCACTTGAACAGGACAACGTGGTACAGTGAATACTTATGTAGAAGTCACAGAAGTAAATACACTATTGAAATAGCTTCTGGTGCACTAGAATTTAAGTTACCTCTAGGACTCTTCACAACTGTATCTTCAGTAGATCAAGAATATGAAAAAAGAGATGCTGAAGTTTTGAAAAAATGCTCTAACAACAAACTTTACTTTCTATTGCCACTTCCGATACTTATTTCTTTATGGAATGACTTGTAGGGATATCTGATTTTCTCAAGCTCTTCTTTCTCTTAAGTCTGCAACATTCCTATATGATCCTGAAGCAACTCTCTGATAGACTTGGGGAAAAAACACCAAGTTAAGAAAATGTATTGGGCTGGATTGTTCCCCAGAACATACTCTTAGACTTTCCAAGAAAATCAGAAATGGCCTTCTAGAAAGAAAATACTGCTCCTCCCTGTTTCTAAGGTGGTAGCAGCATGGATAAAGCGGCCAAAAGATTCTTCACTGCAAAAAAAGCAAAGGCAAAAACATTTTTACCTTAGTACAAGCAGTAGTAACTACCTTCTCTGCACTGCTAATTGCATAGCAATTACAATTGCTGATGCAGGAAAAAACAGTGGTACAGTTGCTGATTTTACACAGCACTTTTTGTTAGAAATTCAGCTAATCCACAGATTAACACACAAGCCACAATAAAGGCAGAATCAAAATTCTTGGAGCTCTACCAAGGTTAGATTAAGTAACCGTATCATTCTCTATATCTGACAAAAAACATGACCATCGGTGGTAAAAGTAAAATCTTGACTGAGAAAGCTGGAGCAAATACAACTGTAGGAGGTTTCTTTGCTCGCAGTTCCACTTCCATCTTAGTCACATCCTTACATCAGACAAGAAGGACCTACACAGCTTTCCATCTTCCTAAGTTTTGTTTTCTTGCCTACTCATTTCCTAAGATAAGCATCTCTGAATTTAGATGAGCATTCACTCTTAATTCTAGGAAGCTTAGCAGAGAATGAGTTCTCTATCTTCCACAGAAGTATTAACTTCATTTCCTATTTTCTGAGATGAAGATTAAGACCTCAATCAAGGTATTAAGGCTTTATGCTGCCCCTTCAGCAGCTGAATGTTCTATATAACCAAAAGATTGCTTGTGCCACCTGCAAAGTTTATAATACACATTTTCCTCAGGAAAAACATGCAGCGTTTTTAAAATGTCCTGCAAGTTTTCTGAAAAAAGGGAAGTAATTCCATCCTTTGGGTGAAGGGGGTTAACCACTTCATGCTAATCCCGATCATATAGAATGAATAATCCAGAGCCATCAGATATAAGACTACCAAGTGTCAGGCTGCCTTACAAGGAAAAGGATATGGAAGAAAGAAGTACTCCTTGGCGACTTTTGCCAATGTATTATGGGATTTGGTTTACTTTTTGTGCGAACATGCATTGTTTCTGTCTGGTTACTAATGAGTGAGACAAATATTTCTAATGTCTAATATTTCTGCTATTTATTTCTATTCCTCAAAGAACAGATATATCCAACTGAACTTCCATTCATCCTCTGCAATCTCTGAAAATACTCTCTATATCCAGAGGGAGAAGAGCATTGAAAAATGTAACTTCAGAAGAATTAAATTTGATTTACATGAGGAGACTTTCATTCAACTGCCTTGATGGGAACCTGGTATATTTATCAGATAAAGCCTGGTTTCACTACAGTCTGTTTTTCCATCACTTTTGAAAAAGAGAAGGAATGAGGCATTGTCCTTGAAAGCCAAGCAAAAAATTCCCCTAGGATAGCTCTTCTGAAAAAACTCCATATCCAGAGAAAACAAAATATATTTAGCAGTTTCTTCTTTATCCAGTCAAAGAAAAAATTTTCTCTGGGGAAGAGATGGTCAATCGCTCATTTATACCATCTGGAGACAAGTCCTGGGAATTCTTCCTGATGGCTGACACCAAGTCCAGACTCAGATCAAAGATGTGGTCTTTTGGAGGCCTAACTGTAAGGACTGACATAAGGGAGTGAGACCTTCATTTGCTTCTGTGTGCTGTCACTTAACATTAAGGGATTACAAAATTTGGTACAATCAGAAAGGACGAATCCCAATGCAACATGTTAGATATCCTCCACTATTGTTCAGTTTAATAAATAGCAATTTTAGATTTGGCTAAGCACAACTGCCTGTATCAGGAATTATAAGAAAATATAAACAGGAATAAAGAAAGTATTTTACAATGTAGGTGTCTGGTGATGAAATCAAGAAACACGTAAAGTTATTTGATTCTCAAAGTTTGTAGCTTACTCTTTTCATACTTGAGAATTTCTGTATTTTAGTGATTGTCAAAGGCACGAAACAAGTTATTTAAGACAAGGTTTTCTTGAGCTTAGCCGTATTTTGTCATTCGCTAGCATGACCGTCTCCCCCCCTTATAATCTGTAGATGATTATAAAATTAAGTAATTTGAATTTGAGAGATGACTGGGCAATTGAAATACTCTAATTATGCACAGAGCCTATAATAGACTTGTGCTTATATGTAATTATATATCTGTGACTGTGTATACATACAAATATGCACTTTATATACAAAAAAACAGTGTACCGCCTGATGTGTGTTTCTTCTAGCCTGCAAGACAAAGATTATTGATCATAGCTGAAAAGGTTACCTGGATCTGGGCTCTGTTTCCAGCTGTTATATTAGATATTGTCCAGCATGCTTCCTTTTTGATAGATTCTTTTGGGCTGCTTAGCAAGTGCAGTAAACTCTGCAGGGCTGAACAATTCAAAATTACCTGAATACAAAAGAAAAAAAAAAACAAAACACCAAACAAACCAAACCTTAGAGGAAATTTAGGATAAAGAATCACAGGAACAAGGAATACAATGTCTTCAAAATCTAAAAAGCATATTGCATCAGGTGATCCCAAAAAGTTAAAAAAAACCCCAAAACCCAAACATAAAACAAAAAAACAGCAAGAACTAAGAAATAAATGTTTGCAGGAAAGCTAATGAGCAAACAACTGAGTAATTCAGGTAAGAGATCATGCCTTCATTATGATTTCAGTGTGACCTGAACACAGGAAGATACTAAGCCCATTATAACCAAGCAAAAATAAGATGGCAGTATTTTCCTGTCATCTTGTTTTCTGTATTTTTGTATACCTGGAAGTTCCAACTACTTCTGTTTTCCACACCAGCTGGCACAGTGGGGCAGACTGTTGCCAGTGTTGTGTCCAGTGACATTATGAATGGGCAATTCTTATTAAAAAAAAATCGTAAAAAACGGCAATTTTACAGAGCAGAAAAGTTGCAGGAAAATCTGCATTTCCAAAATCAAAATTTTAAGTGCCCAAAGTGCAAGGGAAAATGCCCCAGAACAGAGATGTTCCAAGACAGAATACTTGACTATGTCATACTTGATAGCGAAGGGCTTTCTGACCCTCTAAAAGGGCGTAACAGGATTTAATGACTGAAAAATGAAAGACTTTTTTATTTTTCCTTTTTCTTTTTTTTTTAATTAAATTCCAACTTCTTACAAGTTAGTTAAAAATTGGAAGAGCCTAACAAAAAGCACGGTAGTTTTGCCTTGTATGGCAAAAGCAGGCAGCTTAGAAAGACAGTGTGGAACAGAATTTTATGAGAAATTCTTCAATCAAGGAGGTCAAAAGGAGGAGAGATTCAAGCTGAATCACAGTGATGACTTCTGATCTTGGAATCTGTGGACTGAATTTCCTTGCTTATATCCCCGTCCCTCTCCCCCGCCCCCCAAACCTTTCTACTCCAAATTAAGATTAAAAAAGCAAAGATTATGGTTCAGGATTGTATCAGGTATCTCCTGGGACAAGAAAGATTTTTTTTTTAATTTCATGCACAGTATCTATGTTTTTAGCCATCTCCAAGCACTGTCAATTGTTAATAGTTGGAAAGGAGATTAAAGTAAAAGCACGTTTGTGCTCTGAGGTTGTACAGAGAAGTTTTCAGGCAACTGTCCGGTATGTTTCTCACATATTCAAAAATGTATCAACTGTCAAAGCTGGGCTTTTCCTTCTGATTAAGGATTTTTATATGCATTCTGTAGCCCTCTTTACCATACAGCATAAGCTGCAGGCAGGACTATCAAGCTATCCTACTCAAACTAGAATTTTAGGAAAGCTTATGGTATGCTCCTCTTAAAAAATTGTGCGCAACAAGGAAGTTTAAACATTTTCTTGAATTAAAATCTAAGATTTATGCAGTATTTAATAAGCTGCATTACATGTGATTTAGTAATCCCCTGTGGTTTTATTTTTAATGAAACTATGAAATCACAAAATGCACCTCAGTCATTCTTATGACTGATCTGCAAAACAAATGCCATTGAAAGTATACAAGAATGCCTATGCAATTCAGCTACAGAAGAAATATTGTAACAATCAAAAAATAATTTCCAGCACTAGTGATAACATATTCAAAGTGTCCCACTGCTGCTAATTCATCTTTATCTCTCATCTCATTGTCACAGAACTACATAATTCCAAAGGATATATTTATACAAACAAACAAAAAAAAAAGCACTGAAAGAAGCCTCAAAATTAGGAACTTGGGATTTTAACTTTGGCATTAATTTACATGGAAGGAGTAATTTAACACTTTGCATGGGGAATCGTAAGCTTTATGCATCTACACCTCACTGAAAGCATCTTTCTTCAAACTCTTCACGTCATCTCACATCTCTAACTGCTACCATTACCTCCTGGATGCCCATTTCACTGTCTCCACTGCACGCACCTCCCCATTCGCAGCTACTGCCACTTCTTGATCCCATTTCTGCCATCAGTTTTAGTAGAGTCAACAGCCCACCACGGCAAGCCTCTTTGAGCCTGTCACTTCAATCCAATTTGGTTGTGCATTTGTCAGACAGCTCTGCACCACACAGGCATGCTTTTTGTTTGTGAACTAGAGGTGGAGGCCAAGAGTCAGTAAAGTTTCAAGAGCAGTAGCCTACTCTGTACTTTTCTTCCTCATATTACCAATCAAGCCTCACAAAAGGATGTCAGAATGCACAAAGAAGTCAGAAAAAACTTTAACATAAGGTACAACAGCAGAAGCCCGTAACTGGAGCTTCTGCTCTACATGTAAAAAGAGATTGCCACCAGGATCACAGGTAACACATGTATGCAAAGCACGGACTCTCTGCTCCCACAGATTTTAAAAACTAGTGGGAGCTGCTGTCCTTTGCAAAACCTAACAAGCAGTCTAGTGCCTCTGAAGCATCAGGCTTCCTAGCTCCCAGTTTAATTCCAATACAGTGGTGGGAGTTACTGCCTCCTACCTATGCTTCTGCAAATACGTGCCCAGACACAGCTACATACCATCCAAAATCTGACCAGACACTTGTTTTTGGTATATTCATCACAGACTGTCCACAGCATCAAATGTGACAGGCCTTCAATGGCCCTACCATGGCACACCATTCAGCATAAAATTCAGCCTAAGAGGCAGACTTGCTTTAAACAAACCAGGGAAAAAAAAAACCAAAACAACAACCCTCAAAGGGTATTGCACAGCTCTGTACAAATCCCAGACATAGCTACATAAGAATCATCAGTAGTTCAGGACTGAACAGAAAAACGATGAAAACCACCACATGTTTTGAGGCAACTAGTGTCATCAATCCTTCAATTTCAAACTTCAAAAGGAACAAGAGGAGGTGCTTGTGAATAGGTTACAACAACTAACAAAGATGAACCGCAGTACAACACAAAAGAAAGTGAATCCATACCTGGGTCTGGATATCATCTCCTGTGACGATGTTCCCAACAGCTCGTAAGGCAGGAGATACAACTTTGTAGTCATTGTGCCTAAAATTACCAAGGAAAGATCAAAGTGTTAACCATCCTGAAGCATCTCCATCTTTACATCCTCAAGGAAGGAACATCCATCAGCCAGGGGAAAACCGCCCTGCTAAACCTGACTTAACTCTCACTATCTGAATCAAAACACTCTGATTTTAAACTAATGGTAAGTCTTTCTAGGGTTTCTAAATATTTAGGCCTTTAGATACCATTCAGCAGCGTAAAAATAAAATATGAGATTAAAAGAATACAAGTCCTTCAGAGTATAGGCATCCTTAGGAAGGAAAAAGTAATCAGCTTTAACTATGAAACACACTTAATGTAGCACGCACAAAGGCAGAGAATGAGACAGAGGAACACAGATAGAAGCTGTGTGTTTAATTCATACAGCTGTTTGATCATCTTCTGTCATCATATGCATCCCCCATCCTCATTGTTAAATCAGGATTGGTATAGGAAGGGTGAAGTAAGAAATCTTTTTCTCAAAAGAAAACACTTCTTTACAAAAAGGTACCTTAGGTAATACATTCTGTTCGTTAATCCAGCATCAGATTTGCTTTAATCTTAAAAGCCTTAATGGTCTTTTTTATTTACATCACTGAAAAACATTTTTTCTTGTTCTTAGGTAACTGAATGCTCCATGTGCTTCTCTTAGGCCTGAAGAAACGGCTCTGAACAAGGCCAGTCTCCCTGACTCCAACTTGCACAGCTACACTTCACTGACCAAACTGTGTGTATACTCTTCTACAGTAAGGGATTAGGAAATTATTTACATTTCAAGTCCCTAATACTGGCAATTCTAGCAAATTTTACTATTTCTTACATTTCTATCTTTGATATCCTTCAGCAATTTCAATGGTAGGTAATTATAACATGGACTTCAATGGCACAGAGAAAATTCCAGTATATATTACGGATTTTACAAAAATGCAGCTGTTAGATGCAGGAAAAAAAATCTCTTAAGAAATAGCAAAACTAGTACAAGAAAAGTTCCATTGTTTCTGTTACTTATAACAAATAGAGAAGACTGAACACAGACAGGTAAAATTGAAAGTCAAATCTTGCTTTTTGGAAATGACTACATTTCAAGACATATCTAATCAAACTTCCTATTGCTGGAACCTTTATTTTAGGGAAAAGAGTGGATAGTACATTTGCTTAGAACAAATTTCTTACATCAGCAATTCCACAAGCCTTCTGCAGACTCCTGCATCAATCACAGCCTGGATTTTATCATTGGGGCCATCAGACAAATAGGACAAAGCCCAGCAGGCATCAGCTAATACATCTGTATCATTGACAAAGAGCAGCCAGGAAAGCACACTAAGACAAGGTGAAACCTGTAAGACATTAAGAGGAGATACATACATTGTGCAATTAAAAGGGCCAGAAGATCTTTTAACACGTCAGTTCATTTTATATGTGACATTATAGGACTTAAGCACTAGCATCTCAAGGTTCAACACTCAGAAAATTTCAGACCTAGGTAACACTTTTGTGCAGGGCTGTAGCTACACAAGTACGGAGAAGCATGTCAGCAGAAAAGCACTATGAGAATTCTTCAGCCTCTACAGTACAATGTCTGGCAACTTAAACTCATACTTGTCCGCTAAGATGTGCCATACTTTGCACTACAGCAGCCAAGATGTACAGAGTTTTGTTCTGCTGTAGGATGGTCATCTCCAGCACAGGAACAATAACAAAAAGCTAGGAGGCAGCTATATTAAAACAGTGGTTATGAATGTCTGCCGAAAGGACTAAATACCTTCAAAAACTTCATCTGTAAGAAGCCCATACATTGTTGCAGAGAAATTCTGAAATATTTCTGCTCTTTAGTTTAAGTTTCACCACCCTTATTGCTTATTTGGCTACCACCACCTCACAACACATTTCCTTTCAAACATCTCTTACCTTGGCAAAATCTGGAGGTGGATTTTTCCCTCTGCAGAGGTTGGATAGAGCCCATACAGCATTTCGGGTCATAGTGAGACGGTTCTGTTTTGAAAGCAACCTAAAACAAACCAACAAAGAATTCCAACCTTTGCTTTTTAAAAAATCAAAGCCAGGCAGCCCTGTAGGGTCAACTGCGTGAATCATTAAAACAAACTCAGGCCTACATTTTAACATATGCCAGGGCAAAATATGCTACATTTTTTTTCTATGAATATACATCCTAAGGAAAATTATGCTTGATGGCTGGATACTAACACACATGCTAGACACATGAATCCTAGTATCCTGACAAGAACAATAACCATTACACTAGAAGTGTGTTCATTTAATTTCTTAGATACTGATGTGGCAGATTAACAGCCAAAAGGCGCAGGAACTGTGAGAAAATTACTCTAAGTAGAAGGACGTGCAGGTAGCTTTGGAGAGTACTCTCTTTGCTGAACTGCATTTTTAGATGGGTAAAAAATTGGCTGGACGGCCGA